AAACCCTGAACCCTAAACCCTGCATGTCTCCTCCTTCCCCCTATGAGCGGCCTATCGAGGATCTCCAGGTCTCAAGGCTCACCCGACCCGCAGCCGCTGACATCCCCTGCACTTGCTCCCTGCTTTCTGCCAGACTTTCCATCTCACGCTGCTTGGTTTAGGGCTTAGGGTTTAGTTTAGGGTTTATAGATAGGGTTTAGGCTTTAGGGTTTATAAATAGGGTTTAGGGTTTAGGGTTGCGCATCCTTATGAATCCTCGAGTCCTGGTGCCCGGAGCATCTCAGATCTAACGACGGCACGATCAAAATGCAAGTAATAACATAAATGCTTTCACTGGCAATTGTCGTCACTATCGCTGTGCTACCTAAACCCTAAACCATGTAGTTCGAAAACCCGGCGACGGCAGGTCCTCCTTCTCTGTGCGCCTGGCCGAGTTTGATGATTTGGCCGCCCTGGTCGATCTGCAGCAAGCGGCGAAGGTGCAACGAGAGCTCTCTACCAGTTCATACAGGCTGCACCATGGACTATGTGTGTGGAGGGCTTCCTACTACTGTACTGTGTACGATCCTAGTAACATACCTCAAGCATTGGCATATGGAATGCTGCCTTGAAGCTGAAAATTTTCCTTCGCTGCCGGAGGTCACGTCAGCGTTGGAGGCAATGGGTCTTCTGTTCGTGTGACATAGAAACATGCACACGACCATAAGCTGAAAACATTTACAGATATGATCCCGCGTGGACATCGCGCCGCTGCTAAGCCCCAAACCCTACAACCCTAAAGCCCTAAACCCTATAAGCCCTAGACCACCCCCAAAAAACCCTTAACCCTAAACGCCCTAAAGCCCCCACAAAAGCCCCTACAGTTCATAAAGCCCGAAAGGCCTCTCCGGAGACATTGGCCGCGCGCCTCCTCAAGGCGCCCCTTGGCGTGCTCGTCGCGGAGTGTGCCGGGAAGCTGCTCGGGGCCTCTCGGTCGGCTTAAGGTTTATAGGGTTTAGGGTTTAAGGTTTAGGGTTTAGGGTTTAGGGATTAGGGTTCAGGGAGTATAGGGTTGAGGGTTCAGGGTTTAGGGAGTGTAGGGTTTAGGGTTTAGGGATTGGCATCCCCAGTTGATTCTAGAGCCACTCGCATCACCGTACCAGTACATGTAGTACACAAGACATTCGAGAAATATTAGTGGCAGCAGCAAGAGCGTTGGTGATGTTGGTTGGCAAGATGTGAATCAAGTGGTCAGGTCACTTGCATGAAGCTACTGTATGTAATGTAATTGCTGCAATGCTGCTACAAGTCCAGGCGGCATATACGACTCGCCGCGTTGGCCCTGCCAGCAGCGGAATCGAAGCCGAGCCTTCGCAGCCCAGTGCTGATCACGGCGACGTGCTGCTCGGCGGAAAGTTTCCCCTGCGCTCCTGGCCCAGCGAAACACGGCCGAGGCTGCAACTCGTCGCGCTGCACGCCCTTCCGGAGGCACGCTCTTCACAGGGTCTCCGAAGCTCCGGTAGAGAAGATGTCAGCCACCAACTTCCCAGCTGCAATGCCTCCAGGCACCAGGAGTCGGCTCGCTGCCACCCGGACAAAACTGCTCTTTGAGAATCGGATACTGTTTCTGGAGTTTCTGCAACAGAGCACCGAAAGAGTGAACCATGATGCCAGGAAGCTGCAAACTCTCATCTTTTCGGTACCAGGTTGCGTGACTTTCTTCTCCAGCTGGCTTGGGTCGACCCCGATGACGCTCTTCTGCAGAGCCTTCTGTGGTTTCCCCCGGAAGAGAACTGCAGGGCCAGTTTGCAAGACATGACCAAAACCCGGGAAAGAAGGTGCGACTAAAGAGAGCCGAACCACCTAAGACCTAAATGCGAAACACCAAACCCCCTCTACCCTGATCCTAAACTGGCAAGGTCAAGTCTGTGGTGGGGCTGACGCGCTTCGATGGTTGGGCAGCTAGCGGCTTGAGCCGCTCAATTCCACTGGCTTTGCATTAGCGTTTCTCCTGTGCCATGCGTTTGCAACCTAGGTCAAGAGGACTACATGAGGCGGACTTCTGGGCATTCCGACAAGAGAGTCGTGACTGTCGGTGTGGTGCAATCGCCTTTGCAAGCTCGGCGTGCGCATCGCAGGAGGCATGTCGAAGGCGAAGTTTCGGACAAGGCCGGAGGAGGATGTCTGTGCGCGTGCACGTCTCGAACAGTTTGAAGTCACTATCTTCGAAGCATGGGTGTGATTTTCGCTGCTGTACTTGTATTGCCTGGCTTGTGATTATGATCGGGAGTTCGAACAGCAGGATTCGTAAGCAGTAGTTAAGCAATCTTGTGGGCTCTGCTGCTGAGGCGGACGACGACGACGACCTCAATACTAGTCCTGCTGCTGCTGCTGCTGCCGCCGCCGCAGCTGCTGCTGCTGCTGCTGCTGCCCGTCCTCGTGCAGCTGCCGCAGTGCTACTACACCACTGCTGCTACTAGCTGCTGCCACTGCTACCACTGCTACTGCTACTATGCTTCGACGAGGACGGCGACGACTACTGCCACTGCGACGGTAGGGGCGGCAGGGTGAGTGCAGTGTGTTTGCCGTTCCCGCATGCATGCCGGTCGGAGGAACATGGAGGAACTGGCTTCTTCAGTCTTCCTACATAAAGACGATGCCACAATGCAATTGTGTGTGTGTGCGCGTGCAAGTGGGGGTCTGTGTGTGTTTTGTATATGTATATATATATACACATACACATTACACATACACACACAGTCACACGCATTTGTTTCATGTGTATAGACCTAGGCATAGTTGAAGGATGCAAATTTGGGGTTTGTGCGCGCCTTGGCCACTGAGAGGTTCTGGCCTTTCACACCCAGCGTGGTGCCACGGTCGTCAAGCTGGTCCAGGACGCTCGGCTGGCGGACGTGGCAAACCAAGGCCCGCAAGCTCAAAAAAGAAAAGCGGAAGTAGCGGAGATTCTTAAACATCATCGCTATGACAGCTATGTATCGGGCTCCCTGTGCAGAGCCTTCATTCAGAGTTTGACTGCCTGTGACTTGTCAGGTGCTGCCGTACTCATTCGCTACGAGCCGGGCAGGTACAGTAGCAGCTCATGGTGCCAAGCGTTTTTTTTTATATTTCTTTTTGCCTTTTGACATGACTGTGATTACGACGACAAACAGTTTCAGTCCTGTTTGCTGACTGACAGAGTCCTTCCAGAGGCCCCAACGGGAGCGCCGCGTCGCATCTCGAGAAAGCCAGGATGCTCCAGTTGCAGATCGCAGGTTGTGATTGTCGCTCTGACATCCTAAACTCCGACCAGACCCTGAACTCCAAAGCCAAAGCGGAGCAGCAAGAACAATAGTTGGACTCATGATACTAGTGGCACAGTGGTCATAAGACTGAGGATGGCACCAATGGCAGTCATGGCATTCAAGATGATGGTGATGAACATGATATCAATGATGAAGATCATGACTGTGACGACACTGACGATGACGACGACGTCGATAATGATGACGATGGCTACGACGACGATGATGCAGCGAAATTTAGCTTTGCAGACATCAACATCTTTGGAAATGGCCCAAAAGATATAGCAGCGATCACAACTTGTGTGATGGCCGCCGTATTTATAGTACAGTACAGTTTCCAGGAAGAATGGAGCCTTTCTTCTTTAGGCTCCCGGTCTGCTTCTGTTTGGTTGACCCTGGTATAGCGTCAGAGCCTGTAAGCGCGGCATGCCGTCAATGCCAACATTGTATCAACCGGTGCAGCAACAATAGTGATGGACAAGGAGTCTCGCAATGGTGTTCACACCGATAACTCCAGCACAGACATCACAAAGGCACTATAACAAGGGTCGTCGTCGTCGGCGGCGTACTGGTGAATATCTTGTTCGGGAAATGGCAGATGTAGTAACACCGTTGGACCGGTGTGGCAGGAAGCCACGGTCGACACAGTGGAAGCCTTCGTCCACGAGCAGCTGGCCAAAATGGACATCCAACTTAAGGCCGTCTGGGTCTAGTAGGCTTTAATGTAACGTTTTTCTTGATTGTTATATGCTTCGGCTCAGTTTAGATATGGTTTGCACAAGTTTAGGGCCTGCAGGGTTTACTGGGTTCACAGGCCACACCGTTGGGGCTTGCCGGGTTTAAGGTCAAGCTACCCTAGTCCCTAAACCATAAGCCAGGAAACCCTGAACCCTAAACCCTAAACCCTACTCCCTAAACCCTAAACCCTCAACCCCACTCCCTAAACCCTAAACCCTAAACCCCACTCCCTAAACCCTAAACCCTAAACCCTCAACCCTACTCCCTAAACCCTAGACCCGAAACCCTACACTCCCTAAACCCTATACTAAACCCTAGTCCTAGTCCCTAAACCCTAAGCCCTCAACCCTAGTCCCTAAACCCTAAGCCCCAAACCCTAAGCCCCAAACCCTAAACCCCAAACCCTAAACCCTAAACCCAAGCCCCTAAACCCTAAACCCTCAACCCTATACTCCCTAGTCCCTAAACCCTAAGCCAGGAGGCGGACTTTGCCGAGCTTGGCCTGGACTCGCTGGAGCTTGCGGCGCTACGGCGCAGCGTTGAGTACCTCGGAGAAAGCACAGAGCAAACGTGGTTTAGGGGTTTAGGGGTTTAGGGTTTAGGGGTTTAGGGGTTTAGGGTTTAGGGGTTTAGGGTTTAGGGGTTTGGGGTTTACAATGTCATAACGTGGGCCAAAGCACAGAGCAAATATGGGAGTTTCCGAAAATAAGGGGGTACCTTAATTTTGGGGTCCTTATAATGAGGATCCCACTATTTCGGGTACTATATTAGGGTCCCCTATTTTCGGAAACCCACATATTGTTGTTATCATTGTTACAAGTATCATAGGTTGAAAGGGGGTACTGTTCTGCATCTACCTCTTGTCGTTCTACGATGCTCTCAATGTCATATCGTGGGCCTCGCAGTTCTTTAGGAAGCGCTTCGGCCTCCACGGAGATGCGGCAGCTGCGACCGCTCGCGAGCTGGCTACATCTTGCTTTCAAGGCAGGGGTTTGGGGCTTTAGGGTTATCGGGTCTAGGGCTTAGGCTTTGGATTTAGGCTGTTGTGGTTTGGGGTTTAGAGTTTCGGCGGCTATACCAAGTCAGGTGGCTCGAATCTGCAGCGCACGGATGCGCGAGCTGTGGTGGAGTCCTTTCTGCAGGACTTTGGTGAAGCAGACAGCCAGGACACTTGTCAGCAGGTCATGGCCCGACGCCGCACGCATCCTTCCCATTCCAGTGTAAGTTACGCATGGCAGTTGGTTTGCAAACGCAGATTGCAGCATTACGAACCCACTAGGCTTCGCTGGCAGAAATGGGCCTGGATTCGCTGGACATTGCTGCTCGGACTAAGCAGAAAAAGGTATCATAGTATATTATAGTATATTCTAGTCTATTATATCTTACGAGGATGAGGTCCTTTCAAGGGTTTGTCGCAAAGCTCAGCCGTGCAGTCGCAACAAGGCTCGGCTGCGGGAGCGGCTGCAAGCTCGCCTGTCCGTGCAGCTCAGTGTGGAGGAGTGCTTCTGTGCTGGGGCGGGTCAAGGCAAAGCCGCTGTAGACCTCTGACCTCTGAAGACCTGAACTCTGGATTCGAGGCCGGGACTCCGGAAAACAACACCCCTGGTGCTAATCCGCAGTATGAGGTTCAAGTCTGCACTCCATGAGGCTCGGTCAACTGCAGGCGATTCAAAAGGTCCAACTATACTCCCACCAAGACACGAAAGGTGTGAAAGACACCAAGGAAATTCGACTAGTTGCCATGGCGCGGCGTCGCGTTGTTGGAGCTGCTGTGGTCGCGGCAATGTGTTTCGGCAGCAGGGCCTGAAGTCGGAATCGCGCACAGGACCAATGTGAAGAAGAAGGGGAAGCAAGCCCCAAGCAGCAGGTAAACGAAATGAGCCCCAGCAACACACCTCCTTTTGGTGGAGCACAGAAGCCGCAACTGGCAGATCGTCATTGCTTTCCGGCCCGGCCCGGAAAACAAAGCATCCTGAGCAGGAAAGGCTTCCCGATTCAACACTTTTTCTCCAACCGACTTCTCCCTCGGTGTTTTCCTTTTCGCAGTGTCTGCCTCCCCGGCACAGAGCAAGCTTCGGATTCAGATCGCTCCTGAGCCCAGGCTGGGAATCTTCATGGGCCTCGGCAAGTCCAGGCCCTGGCCTCTCAAATCCCCATTCCTTCGGATCCAAGACCCCCCAAAACCTTAGGGTTCAGGCTTTAGGGTAACCCTAAACTCCCAAAGTCTCTAAACCCCTAAACCCTAAACTCCCAAACTCTCTAAACCCCTAAACCCTAAACTCCCAAACTCTCTAAACCCCTAAACCCTAAACTCCCAAACTCTCTAATCCCCTAAACCCTAAACTCCCAAAGTCTCTAAACCCTTAACCCCAAAGGCCTCAACCCAGAACCTGGCTTTCAGGCTCGCCCTTGTCGAGCTGCAAGCCATGGATGCCCGGCTTCAGAAGTCTCTTTTCACAGGAAAGCTGTCGTGTAAGGTACAGTTTGGGAGCTTCTGGGGTGTAGTGTTTAGGGTTTAGGCGGCTTTAGGGTTTCGGCTACTTACAGTTTGGGAGGTGTAGGTTCTATAGGGTGGTGCTGTAGAGGTGTTACGTGCAACGTGTCTTCATGCTTGCCACCATGTTGTATTGGGATGTATTGGGTATCCCTCTGTGAGCTGCTCAGGACCGGAAACTCGATTTGAAGCGCTTTATGGGGTCCTGGTATGTACTTGCATCTTTGCTGCAAACGGCGCACACAAGAATCGCCAAGACATTGCACTCCAAAGCGCTAACCTGAAGCCCCCTAAACGCTGCGAAGCAGAAATCGCATCCTAGCTTCGCTCTTCGCTCTTGAGCTGCCAGGCTCACATCCCTGTCAAGCTCGTAAATGCACCTCGGCCGCAGGCTGCAGCCCACAGTGTGGCAAAGCCAGCCCAAGACCCTAAACCCAAGCCCTAAATCACTGAAGTCACTAAACGCTAACCCTTTCTGCACATTGAGGAGCACTTGGCTCACAATGCCGTGGAAACGTACACTTGGGATGAGTCGAAGCAGCGGATTGGGGTCCACTACAGGCTTCGCGACAGAGTTCAGCAATTAAGTATTTAGTTAGAGTCTGAGAGTCGTGCTGATACACAAAACTTTTAACAGAGACACCAAAAGCATTGTGCAACACATAAATACATGCATCCCGAACTAAATAAGGCAGTAGGGTTATAGTTGTGGTGTAGTCAAAATGTAAATGTAAATGTGTGTATGTCCGTCTGTCTGCTTGTCTGTTTATCTATCTGTATGTATGTATGTATGTATGCATGCATGCATGCATGCATGTTCGCATATCTGGATGTATGTAATGTGTTGTGATGTAATGTAATGCAAGGTAATGCAATGCAAGGTGCTGCATTGCGAAGTAAGTATATGGCATGGCATGGCATGGCATGGCATGGCATGGCATTGCATGACTTGGCATGTGTTGGTATGTTTTGGCATGGCTAGTTTGGTTTGGTATGGTATGGCATGGTATGGTATGTACGCACGCAACCATATTCTGCAGACAATCACAAACACACGGCATGACATAGCACACACAAGCGAATACAGCAAGATGAATACATAGATACATAACGGTACATGCATGAATCATGTACACCCTGCACAACGTTTGCAGACCCTGCAGACTGCCACCTTCAAAGTTCTCACGTCGTCAGGATTTACACATAGTGCAGACGACCACCCTAAACCCAAAACCCCAAACCCTAAGTTCTTCGTGTGAGAGCTCTGCATTCATTGGCACCAGTGTATTCTCTACGGAGCAAGTCTCGCGAGGATGGATGGAGTGAAGAGGCTATTGCACTTTAAAACAAAGCCCTAAACCCTCAGATCCTACAAGTAGCAGCATTACCCTGTCTTGGAGCCGGAAACGCTGAGGTCACGAGAGAAGGCCTTCCTTGCCCACTTCTAAATCTAAGAGGGTTTAGGATCTAGGGTTTAGGGTAGTTTAATAGGGTAACTATCCTTACAACTACGTATCAACCAATGTACTTAGAACTTTACCTACTAAGTCCCATGATCCTCCAAGTGAAGCCTACTTGATCCTGCCAGGTTCAATGAGAAGAGCATGGACGGCCGCATCAATGATAGTTACCAGCGGGGCTGGGTCTGGAACAAGGTTCGCAGCAAAGGGGCAGACGCAGTCTCAAGCAGGTTTGAGCACATCTCATTACTATTACTCTTACTATTACTATTATTCTTACTATTACTCTTACTATTACTATTACTATTATTCTTACTATTATGCTCGTCCATGTCACAAGTTCTCCCAGTGCCAGGAGACCAGTGCAGAGTGGCGCGTGTCGCCGAAACTGCCGCTGTTTGGCTATCTGTTTAGTTACTGTGGTCTCAAGCTTCCGTACATCATCGTGGACTGCGCAGACGACTACAGCAAGGACAGTGCTGTCAGACACAATCTGACTTGTGTCTGGTGCTCGACTGATCAGTCGACGTGTCGGTCAGGCCATCGTCGGCTATCCCAATCGCGCTTACCTCTGGATTCTCGGCCATGTATTGAACGTTCTCCTCTTCACCAAGCTGTCCGCTGTCCATATGTTCGTCTATGCGCCCGTCAAGCCTGTCTTGTGTCTTCGCTTTCTTTTGTTGCCTGACCGTCAAAGGGGCGGAAGCTGGCTGGCTCAGACTTCCTAGATTCGAGCGCATGTCGGGGGATTCTCCAGAACAGGGTTCCTTGAGGATCCTTGGGTGCTGGATCCAAGCGAAACCTGAGATCCGCGTTTCTGAAACCCAAGGATTTTGAGCCGCAAGCCTACGGTCTCTGACGCAGACTACGAGAAGCTGATTCAGAAGTCCAAAGAGCTGGGAGACTGGGCCGGAAGTACTTTCGTAAAGAAAGCAATGAGGGTCAACTCAGTGCGGCAGTAGCAAGAATGATCGCTGCAAACATGATCATGACTTGTGTTCATTCTTTTGAAGATTTGTTTATACTCTGACTCGCTAACTAAGTAGGTAGGTAGGTAGGTGCGGTCAATATCGTTGCGCGGCTCACACTCGCATTTCTGCATTCACCCGGGCATTCACAGAAAGTATACAGCAACACTTGTCAGCCGCTTGGGTTTGCTATCGGGCTCATCGCATCTGAAGAAAATTCGTTCTCTGCTTGCAGGATACGATGAAGACAAGATTCGAAAGGTGCCGCAAACGGACGGTGCAGAGGCTTTTCAAGCGCCCAGTTGAGAGATCAAAACGGCGAGCTCTGCCCAGCACCGTGTGTGTGACCTTGTGCATGCGGTGCTGCGTGCCGAAACGCTGGCCCCCATGACCCTGCATTCCTGAACCCCAAAGCCTAAAGCCAGCTCGCTCGGAGATGCACGTCAGGAGCTAGCGGCTGCAGCAAATGTGGATAGCATCATAGAGGCGGGGGTTTAGGGCCTTCTCTCCTTCTTTCCTGGCATGTGGATGCAAGCTCAGTGACTCAGTTGCCTTGAGCAGGCAGTCCGCGCGAAGATGCTAACAGCCACGGCGTGACAATTTTCCGAAGTGCAGAAAAGATGATCCGGCCCAGAAGCCTGCCTTTCAGTTTCGATGTCCTTCTAGAAGCAGCGTGCCAGCAAATGCCGCTTCCTGTGCATGGACTCGCCTAACGAATGCGGGGCATCGTGTTTGTATGGTCTGGAAGGCTTGCATAACAGGTTGAGTTCGGACCTCAAGGTGCGCATCCTCTTCCCCAACAAGCCTGCTGGGCTCCAAGCGCTGATTGGTGCTGGCCTGTGCCAGTCCATGTCGTCTGAGTGAATGAGACAGGGTCCAGAAATAACTCAACCTGAACCTCAAACGCTCCTCCCCCAGCCCAACACCCTGAACCCTAACTCCTAATAGCCTCAAAACCCTATGCCCTAAACTCCAACAGCCCCAACAACCCCAACAACCGCTAAACCCTAACCCCAAAGCCCCTAGAGGCCGTAAGCGATCAAAGCCCGAGGATATGCTCCGAGCCCGCGACATCCACTACGACAAGTGGTCCCGGCCTCGGGGTTTGAACGGTCGGTTTTGTATATGGGCCCTTTGAGGGGAGCGCGACAGGGGGTCTTGAAGAGTTACAATAAGGGCTTTGGTATAGGGGCATTTAGACATACTACCAATATTCCTAGGATTCATCATCTTTATCCCACAGTATGCCACCCAAAATCCTATTCTGACTGTCAAGGCACCTTTAGAAGACTGACCAAGGATTGCACTGTGACACTATGTAATTGAAGACTGTAGTAGACTGGCATGTCATATACACCGATATTCTAGAGTGCAGTATTGTTCACTATGGTACAGTATGTTTTGCGACACTATGTATTGATGTGCTGTGCTGTGCTAGGACTCCGGTACCACATAACCGTCGTGGGTTTTCCAGGTGTTGCGCAGGTCAAGCGTAGAAACCTGTGGCCTGTACGACGACTGCAAGTCTCATCCCTGCAAGCATTTTGGTTCGCCAGCCCGCGTGCTTTCGGCCTGTCTTCTCACAGCAGCTAGAGCCATGCAGGCCTGCAAAAGCAAGCGTGTGGGAGTTTCAGACGATGGGGGGGGCCCAAATTCCTGATGTATGACACGAAATCTTCGGATCCTTATCCGGACCCCCTAAACAGGGACCCCTAACATGCCCCTAGTTGAAAGAACCCAACATAGAAGCGGTGAGAACAAAACTGCATGTCCATGTTCCTCTTCTTCTGCGAGTTCAGCCTCTCCGTCGGGTGTGTCTCAGTCTCCACGGTGTCTCAGTGGGTGAAGGGCTTTTCAACCATTCCAGGCCGACAGGCACTGTTAATGACCCATCTTGCTGGCTGAAAGAGAAGACGAGACCCGCGCGATCCGGCGTGAACCCTAATTTTGCCCTCGGATACGAGTCATGGAAGCTGGTATATTCGTGCACTTTGTCTCTCATGACAGGATAGGGCTATCTACTGCCATACACTCAAATCCGAAACCCGAAACTGTAGCCCAAGCTCTTCAAGCAGTGCGAGTGGCACGTCTGTGCAAAATGCCACGGCACGTTAAACTGCCTCCGGGCTGGGAGGAATGCGTGAGGATATCATCCTACAATATCATTACAGCATTTGCAGCACATGCTTTTACCATTGTCGCTACCATTATATAAGTCTCGTTGCAGGCGCTGTCGCTAAACATCGCCGTCGGTGTTCTATTCAGAGTCGCCTCTGGGTTTGTTCTGAGAATGCATCTGGCATCTCATGAACCCTAAACCCATCTCATGCAGGCGATTCCCGGCTGCAAGACTACCTACGAGGTCCTCAAGGAGGGCTCTGGCCCTGCCGGAGCCCCAGTAGAGAGCGGCCACTGTTTGGGGGCGAAGGGTTCATTGGGGGGTTCTGGTTGAGTTCTGTTGCAATGATTGCTATCATTATCCTTAGTGTGATGATTCTGATCAGTATTTGGGGATTTCTGAAAATAGGGGACCCTAGTATAGGACCCTAAATAGTAGGATGCTTTTTGTGCCCCTCTAGTTTTGGGAAACTCCCATTTGGTGTCAAGTAGTCTGGCTCACCAAGTGGTTTGGACCAGGTCATCCAGGCGCGCAGCAACGCGACGGTGCACGCGACCGGAGTGGTGAAAGAGCCACTGGGAACAAGATTGGTTTGGGGTTTGCAAGAACCTCCTTCCATCCCAGCTTCTGCAGTCGACTTCTTCTGTAAATTTTGGGGGCATGTAACGATGCAGTCGATTGAATGAGGTCAGGCAAGAAGTTTTGGAGCACCAAAGATCCTGGACAGCAGCCGTTCTCATACCAGGCGCACAGCTGATTGAAGGGTCCTGAGCACGGAAGGAGCCTCGACAATTTCTTCGACTGCTTCGTTTGAGCTTCGAAGTTGTGTCAGGCTGGAGTGGGAAAGGCGTTGGGCTCAGCAGCTGCGGTCACCCTTGCTGTGCACAGCACCTGCAGCGAGTTTGGCACGGCAAGCCTTTACAACACAAGCTATCCCTAAACCTCCTAAGCCTCCTAAAGCTCTTGAATTTTCTGAACCTCCTAAATAAACCCCCCTTTTTTCAGACTCCCAGCACAAAGCAAGCCCTAGGCCCTACCCCACCGTGCTTCTTTCACGTAGCTTTTGTTGAGGTGATCAAAGGCTGGGATCAGGGCTGCCTTGGAATGAAGGTCGGCGAGGCCACAGAACAAGGGCTTTGTAAGGTTCGTAATGACTGGAGTGTACAGGTTTCAAGGATTAATGTTTAGTGTTTTAAGCAGTCTTTGAAGAATGTATTTAGAGTGGGCACATTCCTGCAGCAAGCTTCTCTGAGTTACCTCGCTGGTGTCGGGCGCGGAGGGAGGGGGGGGTCAGAACGTGCGTTGGCATAAATCCTGTCGTGATGGTGCTTGCAGAGCCCCGCAGCAGAAGCAAGCTTGCCTTTGTGGAAGTCTTGGCGGCTCAGGTTTTGTCGGAATTCACTTGCACCCACCAGCTTGCCTGCAGGAGAGGAAGCTGATCATTCCGGCAGATGAGGCGTGGACGGATTCGGGATCACAGCGTAATCTGCAACCCTAAAGCCACAAAGCTCCAACTCCATACAGCCCTACACTCCTCTAAACGGGATAAACCCCCCCCCAAACCAAAGACTGCAGAATGGAAACTTATCTTTCCGACGCCTTCCGGCGCTCCGAGGGCTATGGGGCCTCCGGCTTTCCCGCTTGGGGCATCCCACCAGGCGGCACCCTCGCCACTCAGAAAGACATTCTTTGCTGAAGGGACTGGGGTTCGGACTTACGGTTTGGGGTTTAGGGTTTAGGGTAGGGTTTAGGGTTTATGGGTTAGGGTCTAGGGTGAGAACTCAGGCTTATCGGGTGTCAGGATTTGGGTTTGAGGGTTTTCACGTCACCCCGGCCATCTGACCGCATGCCAGATTGTGGTGGCAGTCCCAGCCGTCTAATCGGTGATGTTCGGGTCGGTCGTCTGGCTCACACGGCAAAGCAAAATACAGCAGGGATAGCTGTACGATGGTGTTGGGGACCAGCCGCCAATGACGATCCGAGGAATTCACGCTGGAGTGCCTCAAGGTTGTGGCTGTTTGTTTTCTGGGACACAGACAGATGCTGCATTGCAGAAGTGACGGCTATTCAGGAATTCTGTCAAGGTTTTGATGCTTCAGGGCTTCGCGTTGAATGAAGACTTGGTTCTTGCTCATCGGTCGAGAACAGCCGCGAGTGTGCATCACCTTCTTCTTCCGGTTCTCGCAGGTGGAGTGAGATGGCAAGGGGCATGCCGACAGCAGCGCATCTCACTGAATACCCGTAGCTAAGAGGTAGTGGACCCTGCCAGGCCCTGAGAGCCTCGACAAGGTCCTTAGGTTGTCCGGACAGTATACACTTTTGGGCAGATCGTGGAGAGATGTCCACGAAATGCTCATCTCTTGTAACTTTTGTTCCCACATGCGATCTGCGTGCAGAAAAAGGTGTAGATCTAAACCTTAAAACCCTATCGCCCTGAAAGCCTGGATTCCGAAGGCTGCCTTCAACTTGACGGATTCTGCAAGGGCTGAACGATAAGAGGGCTCTTTGGTGTCCCAGGCGCAAGATGGAGCGCCCGGAACTGCTGCGTCGAGGATACTACAATGAGGCTGGGCAGTGTTGCTGCCGCGAATCTCTGCAGCTTGCATAACCTTGCGATCTTCATCTATATATCTACAGATTCTATAGATTTCGTGTCAATGCGCTGGATGTATAGTGAGTATAGTGAGGCTAGAGGTGTCGAAGTCTAAGTCGTGTCAGTATCATGAAGTTCTCTTTGCCATTACGAGCACTCTTACCAGGATTGAGTCCATGGCCACCGCGATGCTGCCAGGTGAACGAGGATGCATGGCCTGGACCGTTTGAGGTGCTGTTCACCGAGCGTTTGCAGAGCTTTAGGCTGAGGGTTTCGAGGTTTAGGGTTTAGGGTTGAGGGGTTCCAGGGAGTTAGGTGGCGAGTTTGGCATTTAGCCTTAGGGAGATCGCAATCACTGGCTTTTGACGGAACTCACTGCCACATGCGTAGTCTGGTCTCACGTACTGAAACATTTCCAAATCCCTGGTCAAGAGCGTTCCTTGAAGTCTAGGAGGGATCCTCATTGTGGGATGCTTGACTACGGGGATGTTGGTGTCGTTCCACATGCAAGCTTTGCTTAGAAGGCTTCCGGCTGCAGCAAGTCTGTGTGCTTGTCTTCACCAGGATGTCTTCATCTACATCATCTGCCAGGAAGCAGCCGAGCTACCAAAAGTCAGGCGTGTCACCGGCTTGAGTGTCACGGAATCAGGTGTTTGAGTCACGACAGGGTCTGCATATTTGCAACTACCTGTCGTGAAGATTTTGCAGGTGACGGCAGAACGAGAATCATAATAATAAGACAGTAGCAACAGCAGGAGTCATGACGACAAGCCAGGCTAACATAATAATATAGTACTGATTATGGACGCACTGCAGTTGAGTCGCAAGCTCTTTCTCCTTGTGGCCTTCTCTCACACGGTTCGACTGGAGGAACTACATTGAGAAGGCTGATGCCGTCGCAACCAGGCGGATTGAGGGTGAGGATCCCTTTGTGTCCTTAACGCTGTGACTCCCACCGAAATAGGAGCACCAAAGGAACTGCAGTTGCTCCTGGTGGCAGGCAAGGTCGAGTCCTGCGGCACGTCATTTTCAACCTCAATCTCAACAAGCTGAGGCATCGACCAGCATGAGCGTGTTGTCACAGCACGTGCCACGATGTGCCACTTGTTGTGCCTGCGCACCGGCCCAGCATTCCAAGCTGTATCCCAGGGGCGACATTGAGTTTTACAACAAGTTGCTTCCCTTCCAGCCGGGTCAAGCTACACCCAAGGCGGCATCGTAGGGGTCCCTTGTCTCTGAAGTGCAAGTGCAGCCTGCGTTGCTCACGGAGGTCCACCTGGATTTCTTCTCCACCTTCCGCAACTCTTACTTGATTCGATTTGGAAAGCTGGAGTCTTGGAGATGTTCTCAGCAACATGTGCACAAAGTTGGATGATGTTGGATGGCAGTGCACTCCTTGCTTTTGGGCTTCGCCCCAGGTACACGCAGACTGTACTGCGGGACCCCTTCAACATCAACTACGTGGGTGCCATGTGCGCCAGCTTGCTATCTCGAGCCAAAAGCGTATAATTTGCTTGTGGGGGGCACGGAATATATGTATATATATATATACATACCCTTTAAGGGTTCCTTTAAAGGGCTCCTTCAAGGGATCCAGAGGGGAATAGTATCCATGCAAAAAATTGCATGGATGTATGCTTTATGATTTATATGCAGACCTGGGTTTATGCAGAGGCAACGAAAGGCAGCACGGGCTTTGCTTGTTGCATCGTGTTGAATGCCGTGTCGATTTGTCCTCTTTGCTCGTTTTGCATCCTCCCCGGCTTGCCCGCTGAAGCAGGTATCACGCCTATCCCAGTCCGTGGCAGGTGTTTATGCAGGACTTGCTGCGTTCGCGTGTGTTTCAGGGCTCTGAGGGTTTAGGCAGAGTTGAGAGTTTCTGTTGCAGGATCCCGATGGAAACTACCAGCCAATTCACGCCACCGATCTTCGCCAAGTCCTCAGTGCGACAGGAGCAGAGCCGCACTGCTTTGTTTTGCTTCGACTTCAATCGCTTTCCGTGGGATCAGGCAGGCTTGCATCTCGCACTTTCAGAGGTCGAGGTCAGGGTCACGTTGGTTCCATAGATCGTTGCCAGAGATACGGCAGACATAACGACTGTGGCCTTCCCAGAACGAAAATTAATACTGGCATTCATTCTTCTGCTCGTTTGTAATCATGGTGTGGCGGAAGCGCCTTGTAAGATTCTCTACATCCCTAAGCCCTATCCTAAACCCTCAACCTTGCACATGCCGAGTGGAAGATACACAGCTCGGAAGCATGGGTCTGTGTCTAGGAAGGCAGAACGCCAAGTTGAGTCTTCTCTAACTCCTACATGTCAGTGTAATATTTCGGTAGCGCCTTACGAACCAATAAAATACCCATTGATTCATACGTAGGTATATATGTATATATAACATGCAGAGATCTCCATCATGCACCATGTTTGTATGTGCATAATACATGTACATGTGCATGCATGTATGTATGTATGTATGTATGTATGTATGTATGCCTACGTATGCATGCCTGTTGTCAATGTCATTGAACAACAGTTTCCGTCGATGCTTCGAGGTCCATCAATCCAGTGCGTGAAGCCTTGCTCTTAGCGCCACGTTCCAGTGTGGGGATGCTGTGTCGCACGAGTTCAATGTTCTCTGCTACACTACTAAACCCTAACCCCTGAACCCTAAACCCTACCACCGCAGCTGCCACTGCTATAGCCCTTGATGTCCCGCTGGCTTCGTAGTGTGATCGTCAGATCCTGGGTTCCAAGTGCAGGCGCAAGCTGCAGCGAGCAAACGGCCTTTGGCGAGACGTTGGGCTGCCGGAGGCAAGCTTGGAGCGATTTGCTCTCTTGGGGCTTAGGGCTTTCTGGCATGAAAAGTCTTCAGAGCAGAGGCACCGATTGTACAGAGAAGTCTGTCGCAGTACCAGCTAGCCCGAATGAGGTTGAGGCGTGACATGAGTGTTTGCGTGCCCTGTTGACAGGACGAGAATGAGGACGACGTGTACAAAGTGGTCGACATGAAGGTGCCTATGCCGGCAACAGGAAGCCCCAAGACTTGAACCCTAACTCCCGAGCCCTGAAAGCGGCAGTCGATCTTCGTTGTAGCAACAGTACGGGTTGCTCGAAACTCGGATTTCCGTTGAGATGCCAATTCGGTTTTTCTGTGGGGCAGCTGTTCTATTGAAGGGAGATTTGATCAGGTTTTGTTGGTGTGTTTCTGGACATTCTCAAGTTGTTGAGAAAACTTTTCACGCAGTTTTTACGTTTGTCCAAAACTAGACTTGGGCTCCGGCAAGAGCATCGGCACGTCTGTCCGTCCGCTCCGGCAAGAGCATCGGCATGTCTGTCCGTCCGTCGGTCGGTGGGTCGGTCTGTTTGTCTGTCTGTGTCTGTCTGTCTGTCGGTCTGTCTGTGTGTCCGTCTGTCTGCCTGCCTGCCTGCCTGCCTGTCTGTCTGTCTGTCTGCCTGTCTGTCTGTCGTGACGCCAACAACTAGCAGCCCATGTTTTTGTTCACCGCGTTTCTACTGAGCCTCCTCCTTACAATCTGCGAGTGCTGCTTTTGTTGCCATTGTTGTTACTGGAGTCCTTGCGGTCCCTGCTTGGAAAGGCTGATGCGAACTGGTTGCAAAAAGTTAAGTGGAGTAATGATAATGTTTAGAATGACAGCGTCTATCTGTATTTCTGGGACTTCGCATGCTGTCTTGATTGTATGTCTTCTGATTATCGACACTTGTCCTGTTTTGGTGCGTAGTATTAGAGATGTCGGTGTTGAAGAGGCGGCGGGAACCATCAACAAGACGGTGCTGCAGTTCATCAAGGAGGGTGCCGGAGATGCGCTGTGGTGGGAGGACCGAAGCAATCAGCGAGAGCTTAGCATATCGGCAGGGGCCCAGTCTGCTGGTTGCTAGATCCAGGCAGCGACTGCGAAAGCACCCTAAACCCCTACTAAACCCCTAAACCCCTAAACCATAAATCCCTAAACCCTAAACCCTAATCCAGGAAGAGTTCGAGGATGAAGTGAGTCGCAAGTGGCGCCTGGCCTAACTCGGAGCTCGGAAAGCGACAGGAGCGGGGCTGCAAATAAGTCTCGGGCTTGACTGTACCAGGATTCTCCTTGAACCCGCAAATAGGGGTATATGGTCCCAATTTAAGGTTTTTAGGGTCTAATAAGAGGGTAGTCTGGCCGAGCTCTCGGTAGTGCCCATGGAAGCAGTTTCTGCTAAGTAGGCTGCAAGCAGACTTGGACTTGGCGACGACCTTCTGGCGAAGTCGATTTTCAGGTTGGCTTTAGAAGCCAGCCTCAGTTTCGCGCTGCCCCTGCAACCCTGCAAGCCGGGTCATGCGCCTGTTGCTCGATCCGCAAGCAAAGCTGCAAGAGACGCCGTTCTAAGTAGGGATATAGATATATAGATATATATATGTATATATATATGTACATATATATATAGACGTAAGGTGACATAGTTGTGACTAAATTTAGAAAAACTCCAACCTTAGTCTTGGCTAGTGCAAACCCATCTTCGGGCACCAGGAATTGCTCGTGTAGCACTCTTGTTTTTCCATACCTCCCTGTGCGTACATCGTGAATGCATTCCGGTGCTCACGGTTCCAAGTGGAAAAGTTGCGCTTGCAAGCACACCCCATGGCAATCCCTAACTGTCAAGAGCTCTCGGGGCCCCTTGGGGTGTGGTTTTTTAGGAAACAACTCTGCCAAGTAGTTATTGCAAACCCAGTCAGGAGACTCTCAGCTAGGACTTCGGAGTTGTCTTCTGCTGGTTCGGTGCGCTAACGGTCCAGTGGGATGAACGTAAGGAGATTGCCGAAAGGCGATGCTGGCTAGCTCCTGCGTATGCCGAGCAGTCGTGCATGCATGAATTGCCCGTCAGTTCAAGTGAGAGGAAACGGCAGAAGAAGCTTTCACTGTCAATATCCATCATTGGTACACTCAAACACGCAAGGATTCCTGAGGTCTACTACATTCCTTCCTGTCGCTTGTTTCCGCACTTTTAAGCTTTAGGAAAGGGCGTGGCCCCATTCTGCAGCAATGGCCGTCATCCTGCGTCATATCCTCGGACCACGGGCTTTCGCGGAAGCCCTTTTCTTCCCGGGGTGTGGGGGGCCGGTCTTCGGCATGTAAACTCCTAAACCCAAAAGACCCTAAACCGTACAATCCTAAAGCCCCCCCAAATCCGAAGCCCTGAAGCTTTAAACTTCGATTGTTGACTGGTCCGTATCTCAGCGGCATGCCGAGAATTGAGGTCGCCTTTCCTCCTCCGTGGCCCCGAAGGTGGGGCCAAGCAGATGGTTTAGGGTTTAGGGGTTTCGGGTTTAGGGGGTTTAGGGGTTTCGGGTTTAGGGGTTTAAGGTTTAGGGGTTAGGGGTCAGGTGTTTAGGGTTTAAGGCTTTGGGTTTAGGGTTAGGGGTTAGGGTCTAGTGTTTGGGCTTCGGCCTGTTGGGCCTCTCGGGTTTCGGGCTGAGGATCTATGGAGTTCGGGGTTTAGGGTCTGCAGGGATCAGGGGTTTAGGTTCAAAAGATTTCAGAAGGGCTTAGCGCTCTGGTTCAGGGCCTGTGGGCTCCATAGGGTCTCTGGGTTTCAGGGTTTAGCTTCGATAGGGTTTGGTGAGCCTCCTAGAACTGACAGAGCGATGTCGTGGGAGTTGCAGAAGTTGGGGGACTTACGGTTGATGATATAAATCGTGCATTGCCCATAATAAGGAATATACCATAATTCCCATAGTTAGGGTGCTTAAGGTAATGCAGCTTTTATATCATCAACAGTAGCAAGTGTCTGCAAGCCCAACTGGGAGCATTCTGAACATATGAGGCCAAGTACAACGGACCCCCCGAGTTGAAGAAATATCTCCATGGTCCTATACCCCTAAACCCTTAAGCCCTTAAGCCCTAAACCCTGAACCCTAAACCCCTAAACCCTAAACCCTTAAACCCTTAAACCCTAAACCCTAAACCCTTAACCCTTAAACCCTAAACCATAAACCCTTAAACCCTAAACCCCCGAGTTGAAGCATCTCCATGGCCCTCAGGGCATGGTCCTTCGAGCGGGCAGCTTGCCTCGGCATTTCTCCTCGTTGCAGAGCAAGGCCGTGGGTCATACAAAAAACCCTAAACTCTAAAACCCTAAGCCCTAAACCCTAAACCCTAAAAAACCCTAAACCCTTAAACCCTAAGCCCTAAGCCCTAAACCCTAAACCCTAAACCCTAAACCTAAACCCTAACTGAGAGCTGCCGAGGAAGCCCAGAGATCGAGGAAGAGAGCCGTAGGGATCGAGGAGAGCAGCTTGGTGTCAGCGGAATTTCTAGACGGTCCTAGACCTAGACTATTCAGACCGCAGACAGCCGCCACGTAGAAATGAGCAGCTCGGGAAGGGATGGGCCTGGGTAGGTGGATGACTTCTGCAAGCATGTGGAGCTGCACCTTCCAAAGGATGGAAAGAAGGTCGGGGCTGTGACACTGCACAGGAAACAACTGTAGATCGACTGTCTGCCGCTGGTACAACATCTGCCTGTACATGAGTGTTGGCTGTCTCCAGGTCGTCTTCGCAACAGCCTGGCTTGCAACTGACAACGTGTTCGTTGCGGGGTACCTGGAGAATGTCATGTGAGAAATGATCCCCGGTAGTTGGATTTGGCGTCGGCCCATCGTGCTTAAGGTTGATTTTTTGTTTCGGTGTCGAGCCGTAGACCCGAAGCCTTGTCTTGTTCACCACTATTCAACCCAGGCCGCGAATCCCTAATCCCTGAACCCTGAACCCTAAACCCTAAACCCTAGACCCTACCAGCATGAAATCAGCCAGACCTGAGAGCGTCAAGTCTTCCGAGGCCCTCATGAGGAAGCACTTCCCGGAGGTTTTGAACGGCGGGGCTCACAGATCTCGCAGCAGGGTTCTACAGCCGGAGGCTGATGCCAGGTAGTAGATGAACCGGCGAACGATGGAGACAAGCCGAAAAATCAATCAGCGTCAGGGCTGGGCAAGTAGGTTTGTGCGCGAAGCGCTGTCGTTGGTATTGCACTTTCCCGATCTCTTTCCCACAGACTTGGCCTAAGGCATGAACCTCGTTGCCATCGACACGCTGCACCTCTTCCCGACCACCCTGGAGTGCGCCAAGTTGGTTGAGGTGCGCCTGGCTTGAATCGTTCCTGAAGTCAGAAATTCCTCGAAGTCTTGCCTCTTGCCTTAGCTGCGACTGCGAGTTCCGACCAGCTGCCTCGCTTGCCAGGAGAAGTATGCCAAGCAGGCACGGAAGAAGCGAAAGAATCCCGTAAACTGATTCAGTCTGCATGTCTCGATCACAAGCTCGGCTGGTATACGGCATGAAAGGACGGAACGCTCAGAGTGGGTACCTACTGTGGCTCATGATGAGGGGGTGCCCGGTTCATATAAACCTGATGGAGGCCCTTTGGAAGTTGCCAAAGGGCATCACGACGTGCCTCGGAGTACAAATGCATTGCTTGTTGGATTGTTTTAAGTCTTGGCAGTGGGACGCTTGCATGCTCTTCGAGACGGTTGGAATAATCAGGTTTTGTGGGGTCATGACGGACGTAACGCTTCTTCATTCAACTTGGCACCGCACAGGGTACTTCTTCAGAGGGGAGCCTACATGTAGCACAGCACCCAGAGCTTTAAAGCCTACGCCCTAGGGCGGCCGAAAACCTATCATCCTCGGTGCCAGCAGCCCCGACATGGCAAAGGAAGGACGAGTTCATCGCCAAGTATGGAGACTGCGAGGCCGTCGAAGCTGTCCATGCGGTCAGGGGGTGCTGGATGCCAGGTTATGACGAAGAGCAGTAAGTCAAAACATCCTACATCCCGAAGCCCGGAACCGGTACTCCAAAACCCCAAGCCCCAACACCCCAACCCGAAACCAAGACTCGTGACACCTTCAAACCTTGAACCTTTGAACCCTCAGCCCCAAATCATCTAAACCCCCAACCCTTAAACCCTTGAGCCCCAAACCCCTAAATGCCCTAAATCACATAAACCCCAAATGCCCAAAATGCACCACATCACCTAAACTTCTAAACCCTAAACCCCGAAACCCCTAAACTAAACCCCTAAGGCCCTAAATCACCTAAACTTCCAAGCCCTAAACCCTAAAGTTTAGGGTTAGGGTTCAGGGCCTAAGCCCTGACTCAAGGCCCTAAGCTCGTCTGGAAACCAGGAGCTGGACTCCGCCGACTTCGACTTCGTGAGCAAGGCGAAGAGCGCGGCGTTTTGGGAGCCCTTTGAGGGGCTCTTTTGGGGTGTAGGACGGTTCAGGATGTTGTTGGGATTTGGCGTATTTTCGGGTTTGGGATTTTTTGGGGTTTGAGTTTTTTTTTGGGGTTTCGGGCGTTTTAAGGCTTTTCGGGTTTAGGGCTTTTAGGGTTTCGAGCTTTTAGGGCTTAGGACGTTCAGGGTGTCGGGCTTTCTCGGGCTTGGGACCTTTAGGGTTTCGGGCTTTTAGGGTTTAGGGCTTTTGGGGTTTAGGGCTTTTGGGGTTTCGGACTTTTAGGGTTTCGGGCTCTTAGGTTTCGGGTTTAGGGTTTCGGGCTTTTGTGGTTTCGGGCTTTTGGAGTTTAGGACTTGTAGGGTTTCGGGCTTTCAGGGCCTAGGACTTTTAGGGTTTCGGGGTTTTAGGGTGTAGGGCTTTAGGACTTTTAGGGCTTGGGACGTTGAGGGTTTCGGGCGTTTAGGGAAGTTTAGGGTTTGGGGTTTAGAGGTTAAAACTAGGCATCAATGATAATTCAAGAAGTGAGTCTTCAATCTAGGGGAAGCTGGAGCAAGATTCATCAGACTCCTCCGGGCTCCAATGGGAAGCTGCCACTGTTGATCCTGTTGCTGCGCTTTTCCCCGGTCTTGCTCGTGTTACTACTCTGACAGCCTGTTGGGTTTCGTAACAGAACGCAGGTGGAGCCTTTTCAGCGAGCTTTGGAGGAGTGCGAGAAGGAGGGGCTCTGGCCTGGTACGCGTTCTTCGGGGGGTTTCTGTGTAGGCTTCAGAGTTGTTTGGCAGATCTTCTAAGGGGGCTCCGGCCGTGCAGGCTAGTCGGTACACTGGGAGCATGCTGTTGCAAGTTCTGTTGCATCTCAAGAGATCTGTGAAATGTGAGTTACAGGACATCCTGATCACCGGCCGTCGAATGGATCAGGCTGCTCAGCGCATCAAGCTGGATGCCAGAGCCCTGATTCTTCTGCAGCATGGGTCATGCTAGACTTCCTCGGTTCACTTGGTGACGGGAGTCAGCTTTCAATCAGTAGCTTCCGGGAGCCCTGAAACCTAAAGCATGTTTGGCCCAAAGCCCTGTAGATCCTGGGTCCTGAAACTTGAATCCGAAAACCCTAGACCCCAAGCCGTTTATCCCTGAACCTTTTCTCGGCATTCCGAGGTCTGGGAGGATCAGAAGCGCACTTTGAACCCAATGGCGAACTTCAGCTGGCAGGACTCACACAATGCATACACTGTGTTGTACTGTGTTGTATTGCACTGTACAGCAGAAACAACAGTCCATTTTTTCAAGCCCTACCACGTCGCCCATGTGGTAGGATATCATCGACTATGTCGACAAGGAGGGCGTCCCTGTCAACGGTCCGAGCCTTCGAGCGTTAAAGCGATTAGTTATCGTCGTCATGAGTTTCTGGTATTGATATTGCTGAGTACTAGAGTTGTGTATTTGTTGTGTTGTTGTTAAATCACGTTCTATTGCCAATCTTGAGAATAGTGTTAGCATGCAAATATCGACTGCTTGTAGCAGTTTTTGCATGTTATGGCCAGCATCACCGAAAGCCCCCCAAGTTCATGGGGTGTCTCGACATGTCATGTTGGCATGTATTTCATGCGACCATCCCTGTCACAGCTGGCCACAACTGGGCCTTCCGCTGCGACGCGCCGATTGAGGTGGGCCTGTGAGCATTCTGAAGTTGAGCACAGCCTTTCAGGTGCTGCACGCGGTGCGCCGCAGCTTGCCAAGACACATCAAGACGCCCAAAGACGCATCCCAAACAGTGGTCCTATTCCGGTGTTTTGTTGTTCAGCCTGTTGCTTTATGGCATCTACGCAGACCTCGATCCAGAATCTTCCCGTTGATGATGACATGATAGAGACCGGACCGCGAGCCTCGGAGCCGAACTCTTAAAATCATGAAATACAGAGCCCCCTGCATCGTAGGCCGAAAGCTGCCGAAGGGCTTGAAACACCTACATCCTTCACCTTCCTAAGCCCCTAAGACCTACAGCATAGCCCCAAACTCTAAACCCGACTAAACCCTAAACCCTTAACCCCTTCAAGCCCGAATGCCTTAACCTTAAACCCTTACACGTCTTTGCACCCTTAGACCCGGCTTGTCGCAGGCGACCAGCCGCCACTTGCCGGACCTTCCATGGACCAAGGCAAAAACCTCGGAAGACCCGAAGAAAACGACGTTTTGCGGGTGTTCAGGGTTCAAGCGGTTTAAAAAAGTGTAGGGTTTTAGGGGGTTTAGGGATTTTGGAGTTTAGGGTTTGAGGGTTCAGACTGTAAGGGTGTAGACTGTAGAGTTTAAGGTTTTTCTAAGGGCGATTATGGCGATGATGGAGGCTGTATTATACTTTCGCACTTCTATCGATGGTGTAGGTAAGAGGTCTGCGCAATCTTTAAACAAGTTCGGTAGGAGACACAAAGCAGTTTGGGCATACAGCGACCCAAAACGTTTCTTGGGTTTAGGATTCAAGGTTTCGGGTTTAGGCTGTATTGTCGGGGACTAAGGGGCTGCATCACAGTTTTCTGGAGTCACCGCTATGATGTCCTTTGCACCGTTAACGTAACACAGACCTCTGTGTTTGTGTGGCTGTTTTGGGCACTATGAACAATGCCAATGGCGGCTAGACCCGGCTAGAATAAGTCATCGCAGTTCAACCGACGGATCGTCGTGCTAACGATCATAGCGGTAGTCCGCGATCAGAACCGTTACACATAGACATGTGTATGTGTGTGTACCTACATAGAACTATCTATATAAATATAAGTAAAAATGTATATATGCATATATGGTAGTTGATCTAAAGCCC